GGGTATCAGTCATGAGACAGAGACGCCAAGGACAACTGATGAAATGGCACCTTCTCACCATTCCACCTCCCACCCTCGCTGGCCCAGGAGAGACAGGACAATTCTGTCAAATCCCCCTCCCCCAATTGCCTTGAAGTCTCTGCTCTTTGTCAGATACTTGCAAAGACTCATATTTTCGTTGTGTTTGTTTTCTCATCATTCCATTGTGATACTAAAAAACTAAGACGCTTCATGAAAAAATAAAGTGCTTATGTTGTTGTTAAAAAAGAAGGCTTGAGGCAGTTTCCTGTTTAAAAAAGAAAAAGAAAATGCCAGATAGCTAAAACAAAGGCCTCTGAAGGAAAAAAGATAAAGTGCTGTTTTAGAGGCCCTCCTTGAATAGGGAAAACCACAGAATTATGTATTTGAGTTAGGGTGTTGGAGAAGATTATTAAAAGTACTATGGACTGCCAGAAGAACACGCATTGGATGAAGTATAACCAGAGTGCTTCTTAGAAACCAAGATGGCCAGACTTTGTCTCTCATACTTCAGACATTATCAAGAGAGACCAGTCCCTGGAGAAAGACATAATGCTTGGTAAAGTCAATGAAAAGAGATAGACCCCCAATAAGATGGACTGGCACAGTGGCAGCAACAATGGGCTCAAGCGTAGCAGCAATTGCAAGGATGGCGCAGAATCAGGCAATGTTTTATTATGTCATACATAGGGTTGCTATGAGTAGAAACTGACTTGAAGGCGCTTAACAATTTGCAAGAACTCTTATGCTAAATACCTTTACTTAATGTATCAAGTTTTCTTTAATCTAGAGTAGGTATCAGTTATCCCTTCTCCGGGCTAAATAGTTCAAATCTGTTCAGGATATCCTTGTACATATTACTTTACAGGGCTTTAATTGAATGTCCCTCTTCTAAATTCCCCGGGGTTTCCTTTTACTGGAGGTGCCCAGAAAAAGCATGTTGTCCTAACAAAGCCCTTTGCGGCGGCTCATTCTCTGTGCTGGTCTCCTGTTCCTATCTGTTGTTGTTAGGTGCCACCAAGCCAGCTCCTACTTATAGCAACCCTGTGTATCACAGCAGAGCACTGCTCCGTCCTTCACCACTCTCACGGTTGTGGTTAGGATTGAGCCCCTTTGTTGCAGCCACCGTGTCAGTCCATCCCGCTGAGCATCGTTTTTGTTGGTTCTCTACTTTACAAAACATGATGTCCCTCTCTAGGGACTGGTCCCTCTGATGACATATCCAAATTATGTGAGACAAAGTCTCACCACCCTGGCTTCTAAGGAGCATTCTGGCTGTATTTCTTCCAAGATAGATTGATTGTTCTCTGGCAGCCCATGGTATATTTAATATTTTTTGCCAACATCATAATTCAAAGACAGCAATTCTTCTTCAGCTTTTGCATGCATATGAGGTGATTGAAAAGACCATGGCTTGGGCTGTTAAGTGCTGTTGAGTCGATTCAGACTCATAGAGACCCTGTATAGTGTTTCTTGAGGAGCAGCTTGTGGGTTTGAACCACCGACCTGTGATTCACATTGACCTTGTAGTCCTGTGCATTAACCCACAGCGCCACACCAGGACTCATGGTTTGAGTTGTTGTTGTTGTTAAGTGCCGTTGAGTCCATTCCAACCTATAGGGTCCCTGTATAGGGTTTCCAAGGAGCATCTGGTGAGCTTGAACCACCGACCTTGCAGTTCAAACGGCTTTGCAGACTGGCACATTAACCCACAGTGCCACACCAGGACAGTGCTCCCTAATCCTCAAAGTAGCCTCTTTGTGATTGAGGCATAGTCTGAAGAGGGGAAATAATACTAAGATACTTGCCTGTCTTATGAATATTGGTTTCCCTTGCCTACTATTATAAAATAGACACTGAGTGAGATAGAAAGGAATGTTGGGAAACATGATTAAAGAAAGTTTGTAAATCAGTCTTCAGCCTATAACTGATTGGAATATAACTGATTGGAAGGAGTTCTACAACTTGCCCAATAAAATAGGCCTCTTGCAGAATTTTTGCAGTGTATAGGACCTTAGATGGAATCCTGAGCCCCATCCAGAACCTTCTGAGGTGGGACATTCCCACTAGAAAGGACAAGCAGACCAGCCTGGAACAGCTAGAGGAACAGAAGATACATCTTCAAAGAAAGATCATCAGGAAAACACCAAAACAAAAATGGCAGGATGACTGGCTACTACAAGAATAAGCAAGTTGTTCGCTGGGAAGCCATCAAGGCAAGCAATCAAGTTCCTTCGTGACAAACTCCCCTCTAAGACTGAAACTCAACGAGAACACATGAACAAGCATGTAAGCTTGCTGGCAACCACGTTCCATAGACTCCTGTTGACCTGGAGATGAGAGAAGAGGAAGGGCTGGTTGGTCCAAAATATGGTGAGACCTGAGAGGACACCTGAGCCCATGGACAAGGACAGAGCCACAGAGGGCTAGAGCTGAGAGTGAAGCATCCAGCTGATATGCAGTGAGGGGCGATGCACAAAAATACCCAAACTTGCAGATAGTACCCATTTGACCTAGCCTCAATGGCTTGATAATCAGAACTTGACTAGAGGAAGATTAAAGAAGAAAAACAATTTTTGATAAAGGAAATGAGGGTAAACTGCTACAATTTTATTAACTTGACCTATACTCACGGAGGTAGTAGCTTGAAATGCCAACAGACAAGGAAGGAGTCTTCACATCAAGTATCAATGCTATCCCCTCTGTACACAGGGTAGATAGGGATGGGCAACTTAGACATTGGCTACCTAAAATGATGGGGCAATAAAGGCACAAAGTGACTGGCTTACAAGTTTTCAAGAGGGAGTTTAGTTTAAGAGTGTGTGGGGGAAGATAGAGTCCCCAGTGAATAGTTTTCATCTTATCTAGATGGATCTGGTGAAAAGAGATGGGGATAAAATTCTTATGATTCAATAGTGAGTAATTGTTATCATGACTAATTGAGACTGTCACAATTGTAAAGGTAGAAGTTTTGTAACAAAAATGGGGGAGTAGTTAATCTTACATTCCAGAAACAGAGGACCCTAGGACCATCATGGGAGAAGAGCAAAAGCAGATTGTGAGAACTTATCCAGAGAAGCAGCAACACCAGAGATGGAGTAGAGATGGGGACATGGGAAGAGAAGGATTGAGAGCTGGTGGCCAGGAGGCAGACTTTCAGAATGTGCCCTTTGGTGGTGTATATTATTATATATGCCTGAGTGGGGGGTTTTTTGTTTTGTTTTTTAATGTTTTATTGTAAATTATGTGATAGGTTACATGGGAGAACATTAGTTTTACATTCATCCTATAGTATAATCATTTCATTGCTATGGTAACAACCCCCTCCATGCATCATCAACCAACCAAAGGGTATACACTACAAGCATGCCCCCCTGTCATCAGCACACAGCCCTTCTCCCTCTTTGTGTCTAAAGACCCCAACACTTCCATCTCTCCACGTTATTGTCTCTGCTTCCATCTCAGGCATCACTGCTTCTCTGGGTAGGGTCCCGCTCTCCGCTCTTCTCCCTTAATGGTCTCAGGGACCTCCGCTCTTAGGCTGAAAAGTTAATCACTTCCTTCCTTGCTAAAAAACGTCTACCTTTACAATTCCAACCCTCACAAGCAGTCCAGATAACAATTATTCACTATTGTATCACAAGAGATCATCCAGATTTCATTTCATCAGCCCCGCCTAGACAGATTGGATACTACTCAGTGGAGATTCTACCTTCCTCCAAGCCCTATGAATCTAGCTTCCCTCTTGAAAGCTTGTAAGCCAGTCACTTCTTGCCTTTGTAGCCTACCCATTTTGGGTAGCCAATGTCCAAGTTGCCCATCCCTGTCTACTCTGTGTATGGAAGGGGTGGGAATGATCCTTGCTGTAAAGATTTGTTCCCTCTTTTGAGCTACTGCATCCATAGGTGTAAGTCAAGTTCATCAAATTGTATCAGATTACGCTTTTTTCCCTCTTCTGTCTTTTTCTGGTTGAGCTCTGATCATCCAGTCATTGAAGTCAGATAAAGTGGGTATTATCTGCAAGTGTGGGTGTTCTTGTGCAGATGCCCTTTCTTCTTATCAGCTGGACGCTTCACTCTCCACTCTAGTCATCTGTGGCTATGTCACCGACTCTGGGCCCAAGAGTCCCTAGGTGTTGCCACACTGCTGGCCAACCAGGTCTTCACCCGGGTTCACAGAAGTCTATTGAACATTGTAGGGCTTAGCTCGCTGCTTCATTGCTGATTTTCCCTCACTTCCCCTTATCGGTGATGAGCGTAGTTACCAATCAGAGCATGTATTGAGTCTTAGTCTTGGAAGGGGGTTTGCACTGAGGGGACCCAACCACTTGCCTTGATGTTTCCTGGGCAAGCAACTTGCTTGTTCTCGTAGTAACAGTCAGTCTGCCTCTATGGTTTTGTATTTTTCCTGTAGGTCTTTCTTTCAAGAAGTATGTTCTTCTAGCTGCTCCAGGCTGGTCCGCTAATCCTTTCAAGTGGCAATTTCCCATCTCTGAAGATCTAGATGTGGTTCAGGCTTCCACCTATCTAGTCTTATGTATTGCAGAGGCTCCTCAGGAAGCCTCCTTCACTGGGCACGTTGTAGCCCCATTTTAGGTATTCCATTCAGTTATAGTATATGCCTAAGTGTTTGTTGTTGTTTTTTTTAAAGAGAGAGCTAACATGAATACAGAGTAACGCTGTTAAGTGATGGTACATGGAGGGGATTATAATCATTGTAATGAAACAAGTTGTATGATTTGTTGAATGTAAAACTGATGATCTGCCCTGTAAACTTTCACTCAACTCACAATAGAAACTTAAAAAAAAAAACAAAAAAACCCAACTGATACACACACACAAAAGTAGACTCTTTGTTTCTATCTACTCTGTAATTGCTAGTCATGTAATCTGTCTTGATGGGGCTGTTCAAGAGAGGGGACAAGTTCAGGTCGTCAACCAACTCTTTATGTCTGTCTCCCCCTTCCCTTGTGGTGCCTGAAGTCCAACACAACCATTGTCAGCCTGGAGCTAGAGGACAACTGCATGATGGAGGAAGGAGCCTTGAGCCTGGTGCAGATGCTGCATGAGAACTACTACATCCAAGAGCTGGTACTGTGCCTTCTCTGCCGCTGCCACCGCGGCCACCGCCACCACATCTGAGCTCTTCTATAAGTGGCTTCTCAGGGGAGCACCATCTAGCAGAGCTGGTGAAGGGACCACGCTCCCTGTGGCCAGGGAAAACACTGGGATCCCATTTCCATCTGGTTTGGAAATCAGGGGTGGGGAACCTCTTTCTGCCAAAATTTATAACATCATTGGTGGGCCATACAAAACTGTCAACTTCAAAATTTGCCTGCTACGTTTGGTCAGACTTTTAATTAATTCATCCCAAATGAATTAATCCCAAATGGCTGGAAATGTGGTTGCCTTGGCAGGGCCAGACCAAATGACATTCCCCACCCCTGCCCTAAATAGATTATCTTACTTCTTATAGTTGCCTTAAAGTGAACTTTTTCAAAGACGATAAAAGCACGGAATTATTTTATAAAATACGACTTGCCTACATTTGGAGTCCTGGTGTGGCACTGTAGGATAAGCACTGAACCGCAAGGTCGGCAGTTCAAACTTACCAGCAGCTCCTCAGAAATGCTATACAGGGTCACTGGATCAGAACCGACTTGACAGCATTTAATAACAAATCTAAATATTAGGAAGGAGCCCTGGTGGCATAATTTTTACACACTTTCACTAACCCAAAGGTCAGCAGTTCAAACCCACGAACAGCTTCATAAGAGAAAAGGGTTGGCTATTTGCTCCCATCAAGATTACAGTATAAGACACCCTCTAAGGGAGTGCACTAGGTCACCTCGAGTAAGAACTGACCCAATAGCAACTGAGTTATGCTGTCCCTGGGTGGTACAAACAGTTAAGTGCTCAGCTACAAACTGAAAGGTCAGTGGTTCAAATCTAGTCAGAGGCACCTTAGAAGAATGGTCTGGTGATCTACTTCTGAAAGATCACAGCCATTAAGAATCCTACGGAGTGCAATTCTACTCTAAACCACATAAGGTTGCCATGAATTAGAACTGACCCTATGGAGATTGGTTTTTGATTTTTAAGTTGTTGTTGTTAAATGCCGTCAAGTCAGTTCCAACACTAAGCAACCCTGTATAGGGTTTCCAAGAAGTGGCTGGTCAAATCAAACTGAACTTACAGTCCAGCACATTAGCCTACAGCATCATACCAGGACTCCTGTTTTGGTTTTGTTTTAAGTACCAAAGCTCAATTAGGAAAGTGAAGAGTCAGTGAAGTCAATTTCAGGGGAAAACAGACCAGCCCAAGGGTCTCAGTGAGGCAGTAGAAGACCCAGGTGTGGAATCTGGTTACCAGCTTCTCTTCTCTCTGTTTTTTGCATGACCTTGATCTTCCCAATTTTCTTCCACTCCCTACCCTAACCCTACCCCTCAGCACCGTCCTCAAGTAACACCACCCTGACATTATTTCTTAATGGGGCCCTTTGGTGGGGGTTTTTACACACACAGTGTTTTCTTGACTTTTAGAATATTTCTGAAAATGATCTTGGCTTGGAGGGGGCCGGAATCATCACAGGGTTTCTCCAGAGAGATATCTCTTCACTCTGGAGTCTTAAGCTTTCAGGTGAGCTGGTGGAATAAGGAGGGAGAGTTGGAAATCTCAGGGAGGAAAGAACAGGAACTGAGAGGCTCAGAGGTATATCTATGGTGGGGGGCGGGGGGACGGGGAGCACTTAGTTTTAAATTGCTCACCAAGACTATGCATTGGGTTGTTTAACTTCAGGGTCGGAAGTTTGAATCCACTAGCCGTTCCTGGGGAGAAAGATTTACAGCCGCAGAAGCCCTATGCAGGGTTGCTATGACTCAAGGGCACATCACAACAATCTTAACAGGAACAGATTGACAAGTGGTTTCTCCTGCAGAGTGGGTTCAAACTATTGATGTTTCTGTTAGCAGCCAAGTGCTTAACCACTACCCTACCAGAGCTCCTTAAAAAGACTGCATCGTTGTTGTTGTTGTTGCTAGGTGCCATAGAGTTGGTTCTGACTCATAACGACCCAATGCACAAGAGAATGAAACACTGCCCAGTCCTGTGCCATCCTCACAGTTGTTAAGCTTGAGCCCATTGCTGCTGCCACTTTGCCATACATTTCATTGGGGGTCTTCCTCATTTCGTTGACCCTCCACTTTACCAAACATGATGTCCTTCTCCAGGGACTGATCCCTCCTGACAATATGTCCGAAGTATGGAGACGAAGTCTGGCCATCCTAGCTTCAAAGAAGCATTCTGGCTACACTTTTTCCAACACAGACCTTTTTGTTCTTCTGACAATAGTCTCACAATCATTGCCATGTTGAAGCTTGCTCACTTTTTTTTTTTCCCACTTTTTATTGTGAACTGAGTAATAGTTTACATGGGGGAACATCAGGTTGTACATTCATCATTTCATTGTAATGATTACAATCTCCTCTGTGCATCATCATTCAACAGTATTTGCTTCTATTTCCTCTGGTTTTGTTTTTGTTTTGCATGGGAGATGTACACAAAAACACTCAAGAATATATAATAATTTAAACAACCAAAGGACACATTCTGCAAGGTCTACATCCTGACTGCCAGCACACAGCCTTTCTATCTCTCCATGGGTCTGGAGTCCTCAATTGCTCTCTTTCTCCATGTCCTCATCTCTGTCTCCATCTCTGGCATCACTGTTTCTCTGGTTAGGATCCCACATTCTGCTCATGCTCTTCTTCCTTGATGATCCTAGGGTTCTCTGTTCCTAGACTATAAGATTAACTACTCCTCTCTTTTTGTTACAAAACCTCTACCCTTACAGTTGTGACAATCACAGTAACAATTACTTACTATTGAATCATAAGAATCTCCTTTCACCAGACCCGTCTAGACAAGACGATTCAGTGAGACATCTACCTTCCCCCACACACTCTGAAACTAAACTCTCTCTTGAAAACTTGTAATCTGGTCACTTTGTGCCTTTATAGGCCATCCCATTTTAGGTAGTCAGTGTCTAAGGTACCTGTCCTTATCAATCCTGTGTACAGAGGAGATGGGATTGATCTTGGGTGTGAAGACTCCTTCCCTCTCGGTTGGTATTTTGAGCTACTACATCCATAAGTATAGGTCAAGTTCATCAAATTGTAGCGATTTACACATGTTTCCTTTATCAGAAAGAAAAAAAAAATTTTTTTTAATCTTCTTCTGGTCAAGTTCTGATCATCAAGCCATCAAAGCCAGGTCGAATGGGTACTATCTACAATTTTGGGCATTCTTGTGAGTCTCCTCTCACTTCACATCAGCTGGGCTCTTCACTCTCAGCTCCAGCCCCCTTGTGGCTATGTCCTTGTCCATGGGCTCAGGAGTCCCCAGGTCTCACCACACTTCAGGCCAACCAATCCCTCCTCTTCTCTCTCTCATCTCCAAGTCAACAGGCGTCTATGGAACAGGGTTGAACTCGGCCCATATCTTCATTGCTACCTTTCCCCCTCTTCCACTCACCAGGAGACCAACATGGTGGCCAGCAAGCTTAGATAGATGCCTGCTTATGTGTTCCCTTTGAGTTTTAGTCTTGGAGGGGGATTTGTCCTGGAGGGGCTTGATTGCTTGCCTTGATGACTCCCCAGCAAACAACTTGCTTGTTCTTGTAGTAGCCAATCATACTGCCATTTTTGTTTTGGATTTTTCCTGCTGGTTAAGCCCACTTTTGTAACCACTGTGTCAATCCATCTCCTTGATGGTTTTTCTCTTTTCTGCTGACCCTCTTACTCTACCAAGCATGATGTCCTTCTCCAGGAACTGTCCTCTTCTGATAACATGTCCAAAGTACATAAGATGAACTTCCAAGGAATGTTCTGGTTGTTATTCTTCCAAGACAGATTTCTTCGTTCTTTTGGAAGTACTTGGTGTATTCAACACTTACTGCTAACATCATAATTCAAAAGCAGCAGCTATTCTTCACTCTTTCTTATTCATTATTCAATTTTCACACACATATGAGGCGATTAAAAACAGCAAGGCTTCAGTCAGGCACTCTTTAGTCCTCAAAGTTATATCTTTACTTTTTAAAACTTTAGAGGACTTTTGTAGTAGATTTGTGCAGGGCATTATCACCTCATTTGATTTTTTGGACTGCTGCTTCTATGTACATTGTTGGTGGATCCAAGTAAAATTAAATTCTTAACTTTAATCTTTTCTGTGTTTATCATGATGTTGCTTACTGGTCCAGTTGTGAGGAGTTTTGTTTTCTTTATGCTGAGGTGTAATTCATACTGAAGACTGTAGTCTTTGATCTTCATAAATAAATACTTCAAGTCCTCTTCAATTTCAGCCAGCAAGTTGTGCAATCTGCATATCAAAGGTTGTTCATGAGTTGTCTTCAATCCTGATGTCACATTCTTTTTCAGATAGCCCAGCTTTCCAGCATATTTGCTCAGCATACAAACTGAATAAATATGATAAAAAGATAAACCTGACACATACCGTTCTTGATTGTGAACCATGCAGTATTCTCTGAACAGTATCCCATGAGTCCTATTCCAATAACTTCCTCTTGGTCTATGTTCAGGTTCTGCGTGAGCACAATGAAATATTCTGGAATTCCCATTCTTTGCAATGTTATCAATAATTTGTTATGATCCATACAGTCGAATGTCTTTATAAAGTCAATAAAACACAGGTAAACATCTTCCTGGTTTTCTCTACTTTCAGCCAAGATCCAAAAATGGTAAAAATAATGATGCCAAAAGCTGAACAGAAGATTCCAAAGGGTGGCTCGAAAAGACAAAGTAAAGTTTTATAATGAAATATGCAGAGCCCTGGAGTTAGGAAACCTGAAGAGAAGAACATGCTCAGCATTTCTCAAATAGAACAAACAGAAGGGGAAAAGTCAGGCCTCGGGCTGTGCTGGAAATACCATGGGAAGATGGAAGGAATACAGAGAATTCATCAGTGTTCAGTCATTTCAGGAGGCAGTATGTGCTCAAGAACCAACGGGACTTTTGGATGTGGCTTGAGCTGGAGGCATACAGAGCCCAAGATTGAGACGCCATGGACCTGGGAGTCGGAGCCGGAGCAGCTCAGAGACTGAATAATAGCTCTTCAAGTCTGCCATAAAAAAATGACCTCCAATAAAACTAAATTGCAAAAAAATGGAAAAGAAACAGAATGGAAAAGTAAAAAAGTCGAGGCTAAACCTATAGAATCTGTGGTACAAAGAGTACTGGAGGTGGAGGCAGAAGTGCTGCTAACACAAGTAAGCTAAAGAACATTTAGATCGTCCAGAATTAATTGAAACATTTCTTAATTCTCAAAAAGCTGGTAAAGAAAAAGATGGTACAAAAAGAAAATCTTTAGCCTAGTCACTGAGTTGACGTCGAGAACTCAGGGATCTGCTCCTGGATCCCTTCTGCCTTCCTCCTCCCATCACCACCTGCTGCAGGTTGTCTCCACGAAGGAGAGAGAAGTGTATCATATGCCTGCTATCTAGAACCTCCACTCTTTCAACCCCTTTCCTGATGCAAGTAAAGGCGATGACCTGCTTCCAGCTGTGATAGAGGATTATATCCATGTAAGAATTCAACAGAGAATTGACAGAAAGGCTACTGCCCAAGGGATCACTGATAATCATGATAAAAAGAAACTGGTGAAGGCATTTAAGAAGAAATTTGTCTGCAATGGTACTGTAATTGAGCATCCAGAATATGAAGAAGTAATTCAAAAAAAGAAGTAACTTCCAGAGCTACCATGCATCTACAATGATAAAGTCAGCAATTCTAGACAAAGTCTACCTCTAGTCCCAAATCAACACAGATGTTGCCCAGAGACTCGGGTGGCCCAATGAGGAAGTTTTGGGCAGTTTTTTTCCAGGAAATCCATCATCCACACAAAGAGCTTTTGTGCTGGACAGCCTGGTCCTAGTGTCCAATAGGCAGGAAAGTTCACGTCATCAGATTTCAGGCACTAGCTGACCTCATCATATGAGCAGAGAGTCTGGTTCTTCCCCACTGCGGGGTGCCTGTGTGAGGCTGAGTGTGTATGTACAGGTATGTGTGAGTATAAGCACACACACTCTCTGACCCTCCTGGGCCTATTTCTTCTGTGTTCAGTTCACTGGGAAATGAACTGTTGGACTTTTTGTCCTCTAAGCATTTCAGAGCATAATGGTCAACTAGTCCTGGTGTGGCACTACAAGATAGTGCACTGGACTGCAAGGTCAGTTTGAACTGCAAGGTCAATGGTTCAAACACACCAGCTGCACCTTGGAAACCCTATACAGGGTCTCTATGAGAATCATTGCAACGGCACTTCACAACAACAACATTTGGGTATGAAATGATCTGCGATTTTTCTTCCTTTTTTTTTTTTTTTTTTAAGAAACATGGTTCAAATGCCTCCAAAGCATTCATGTGTTTATTCTGCAACATTTTTATCTACTTCCCTAAAAGGCTGTCCATAAATAACATAACACGTTAAGGACTTTATACTGTTGGGTCTTTCTTTTTAATCTTAAAACGTATAAAAAGAGAGGAAAGAGTTGTTAAAGTTGCTATTGATTTATAAAAAAAAAAAAAAAAAGAAGTAATTCAGCTACAGGGTAACCAGTGCAA